AAACAGAGAAGTAAACAACTGAATTTCCTAGTGGTTCATTGAAGTACCTAGTCATTGACTTGTATTTTCACTGTGTCAAATTGGAAGTTGACAGACATTAGGGACCTTGAGCAAATCACAACAGCGAAGGCAACAAGGACAAGGCAGAAGATCCAATGAGCAGAACAGTAGCTTGGCATGTGCATTTTAAAACTGTGTACATTTCTAAGCTGTCCTCATCAAAATTTGTGTGGTCCAAGAAAGGAAACCCCAACGCAAATTATTTAAGTTTCCACTAGGAACTCAACACTGCTCTCATACATTATGCTGATTTTTAACTTGCAGTGCCATAAGAGATGATGAACACATCCAGTCAATCATGAAATCCAGCTAAAAATATATATTTATTTTGAAATTGATGTCTTCCTTAGTGTTGCTATCCTAACTGTAAAAAGTCCCTACTAGCTTGAGCAGCACTTCATTCACTCTGAGGAAGATTCATTGATGTTTAAATTGATGAAACCAAATTATCTAATTTTAAACTGTTTTTAACAAAACAGCTTTGAAATACACTTTAGCTGTGGTGTGAATTGGTTATTATTTAATTTTTTGGTCAACCTACAGTTAGACTTGAGTGGAACAGAATTAATATTTGAAATCACTGTAGTGAAGTGAGTTTTGCATTACATTTTTTGCTAGGGATTGTGAAAGTTTCCTTTGCTAATCTGCCCAATCTTCAGATTTAAATTAATAGAAATTTGGTCATTGGACTTGACTTTTTCTGAGCCCATGCAGGCTAAGGCGAATAGCTAATAGATCACATTTTCTGCATATTTTAGAGTTTGTAGACTTGAATGCACTTTGTTCTCTTCAATAGTGGCAGAAATTCCACATGAAGTAACACTGGAAGTGAGTGACTTCAGGGATGCCAGCTTCAGTAAGAGTGTTCACTTCAAGTGTTCAAACATTGAGCGCAATGTAATAGGGAAGGTTGGTTTCCTGAAAGATTTTGTGAAGTCCCCAGAGGATTTCATGAAAATTAT